ATGCATTTTGTATGTTCATAAGCATAGGGCTACTTCCCCTAGAGATGATGAGTGCGGACGCGCACCTTATGATGAGCGCGAATGCGCACAGGTGCGAAAGCACACAGATGAGGGTGTTCATGAGGCGCATGACACTATGGGGTTCCGCTGACCTCCGGACGTCGCTACAGATTAGCTTGACCAGAGGGTCCAGGGGGTGTGCGAGCGCCCTGGGGATTCACACTCGCACGTGTGAGTCGTGTGTAGGGAAGTACTACACATCCAATTTTCCGAGACTGGAGGCCACCCCTAAGATGATTAGAGATAGGTCCCTAAATCATGGTTGCATGTGTTTGCATTTGCATGGCCCTATAGCGGGGCCACTTACTGAGTATTCTTTGAAATACTCAGGCCGTGTGCCACTTCATTTTTCAGGTAAAGGCAAGGTGCACTTGTACGGAGGACGGCGGCATCGCGAGTAGAGACTGTGGCACGTGCATAGGGTAGACTCATATTTAAATTTCTAGTCTTAAGTTAGAATAGGTTATTTTGCATTCCATTGTTTTAAATTATTTTGTATTTGTTTTTGTTTTCTCTAAATTTCAGTATTTCATATTTAAACACGTAAGACCATAGCTGTGTTTTTCAGAGAAGAAGTTGTTTTAAACGTTTTTTTCTGAAATTTTCGTTATCAATTATGTTCATGTAGGAGTTATATTTCCGCATTATAGATGAGCATGAGACGTTAGTAGCGACTCTGAGTATGTGGAAATTTAGGGTCGTTACAGATTCCTAGTTTTTTTTTTTTTTAAATAATAATAATAACTATCAAGATTATGTTCCATTCACTTGAAAAGGAATAACGTTATAAAGTTAAAAAGTTCTTTCTTGAATCGCTATAAATACGTGAACCATTTTAAGATTTCTTCCATCTTCAAATATTTTTTCTAAACTGACAAAGTCTTAGCTTCACAATGTCTGTCTCCAATCTCCAAGCTTGGGCTGAGAATGAAGCAAATGAATTGATGAAGAAGTATGACAAAGACGGTGATGGCATGCTCAATAATCAAGAGTTACAATTCTTTTTCCGTGATGTTCGAGGATCAACTCAACTCAACAATCGAGAAATTTTATCTAAGATCCCAAAGACAAACGACAACGCTGCACACATGTTAAGCTCAAATGCTCATTCAAACTCAAAGATAGAAATACAAGACAAAGCTACAAAATCCTCGACAAAAGTCCTTAGTGAAAAGGCATCTCATGTGCCACTTAGTAGAGAGCAAATAAAGAAAATTTTCAAATATTACAACAGCGACAAAGATGGTTTTCTCAACAAAAGAGAGGTAACAAAAGCTTTTAGTTTTCTAGGCTCAATTAATCCATATTACAGGGCTCAATACGCTTTGGATTTTGCTGACGATAATAATGATGGTCTTATCAGTGAAGATGAGCTTGACAAACTCATAGATTATGTCAGTAAAATCATCAAGAAGAAATGAGCTTATAAAAGTGAGTTTCATATTGTATCTGATGTCGATCGTTGATAACAATAAAATAAAGAGAAAGGAGTTGTAAGTCAATAATAAGTATTTGAAAATAAAGAATTTATCTTACTTTATTATTAATATTAATTTTTTTTGTTAATGTATCTTTTTGAATGATATTGGATCAATCACAA